TTTACACTGTTTCATAATATATATCAACAGTTATCATCTTTGATAACAACCGAAAATGATAAATAACTTCGTTGATGCCTTCAATCATTAGTTAATTTTCGTATTAAAGAAAAATATAATTAATAAGGACATTCATTTTGATCGAGCATAGAAGACTTGCAATCAGTGAGTATGCATTTGAGTCAAGGATCTTTGCAATAGAAATATAATGCTAAAGGAAATGTTCTAAGATTTAGAATTTTGCTACAAACCTATCCAGTTCATTAACCGAATTGAATTCCTTATTCTGGTAAAAGATGCTCGTCTCAAATGTTGAGATGACGAATTAGATGAATTTAATCTTGCTAAAGCGATAAATCAATTTTCACTTGTAAATATTTGTACTATTCGACTTAATATTCAACGATATCTACATTCTCTCATTCAAACGTTGAAAGCACTTATTATTTCAACTTCAAATCTTCCAAAAATACAGATTATGTTGATAATGGTGGTTGTCGTGTACATTATTTTCTTTTCTGTGCGATATATCGATTACGATCCCTTTACTGTTGTAAACGGTATCCAGAAAGTCACGAAACAAGAAATCAAATAAGTTATCTCCTTTCTATTTTGACCAAATGATCTAATATTTTTACCAGTGAGAAAAGAGTGTTCATAAATCATATTTATAAGAAAAACCTTCTCAGAAATTGTTTCGAAGTATTTACAACCGACTTTAACAAAGAACTATAACCTTCAATGAGTTATGGAAAAAAATAGCAATGCAATTTTGTCAACAAATACTTTCTGTTTATGGTTGAAATTTTCAAGGCACACTGAGTAACAGGACACGTATCTCAGTGTAAAGTGTGTGGGTGTGGGAGTCGTTGTGCGTGTTTCTATGAGTTGTAGATGAGGATGTATGAAGGCATGAGTATGGTGAAGTGATTATAACTCCTACGTCCACACCCCCACCCACATTTCTATCGATTATGGCAGCAAAAACTATATTGACTATTTTTTCTTAAAACTAGCATATGGAACTCATTTGTTAATATCTTTATTATGCCATTCGTTTGATCTTGAGCAATGTCTTCGTTAATTTCACTATACGATCATCAGGTAACATATCGATATCGTACGAACAGTGATATCATAGGTCTTATTTGTTGTTCTGCTATTGTTTACTAAAGTTGAGTCAATGTTGATGAATCTTTGATCTAACTCGTCATTATTTTTTCATTTAATATTTACTCGATTTCTTCATGAAGCACACAGAGAGGTTTGCAAAATCTTCTTAAGTGAAAACAAGCTCTGATAAGATTTTATCAGATGTCAAACAGAAGAAAGAAAAATTTACAGAATATTATTTGCGAACCGTTGCTTTTATCTATGGACACGTTATTTCGCCAACATAGTAAGTAAGCGAGAATCAACAAGCAATTGAGTCAATCAAAAAGCTTGATCATTTTCGACAAGAAACGGAGAAGGTTGGGCTAAAACTTCGCAGATAGTCCAAAAAATCTTTATTCTCGGAATGTGGCTGAGAAAACAATGTCTTCAATATTTTTGGCAGAAATCTGCTTGTGAAAAAAGTTTCAAATATTTGCCAGACAGTGTCGAATTTTTTTCCAGAGCAAGGGACTACTAGTTTATCCAGTTCCTCTTCATCGAGAACTAGGGAGCCAATAATAAAGCTAAGGCAGAGATAGACAACCAGCGAGTACTATTAGTAAGCATACTCAGAATTACGAGCAAGCACTTCAACTTTCGAATATTATGAAAAATCTGACTTCTATTCATTCTGGTTTTGATTTTACTGAGAAGTGTTTGATTTCATTGAAAAATTGGTTGGATTCCCAATATCTATACATGATGCCAGCTGAGATATATATTCATCTTATTATATTTACCAATGTATCAGGCCTAATCTTAGTAATGGTATGCAGCAGTGTTCTAAGTATTGCTACTTTTTCCGTTAGTATTCCAGCACTGCACCAGTTACTCAACAATCTTGACATATCCCTAGAGTATTCTTTTTGGGGGTGTAACGATTCGTAACGAGAAATTTACAGGGCTTTCGTAATACGAAAGCCCTGTCATCGTTTTTACTACAGTGCTTTCGTAACGAATTTTGACAGGGCTTTCGTAACAAATTCTGACAAGGCTTTCATATCAATTTTTGACAGGGCTTTCGTATCAAACTTATACAGGGCTTTCGTATCGTTTTTGACAGGGCTTTCGTAATCAAGTTCTTATTGCATTCATAACTAAAATGAAAGACTGGTACTAAAAAGAACAGGGCATTCGTTACGAACACCCATGCATACAAATATCGCGTAAGTCATTAAGTGGGATCCATTCGTAACAAGTTTTATATACTTAAATGGTCCAAATACATGGTACTATAGTGTGAATGAATTATTTGTATACATTCATAGATGTCGTTGTTATTTCTTGTTCTCTATGTTTTTCCAGAATTGTGTACGCCTTTTTTTTGTTAAAGTTGCTGACTTAAAATCGAGGAAATCAATTATGTGTATTCTTAATTCTATTATCTTGATATTGTTCTCGTTCACTCTTCTCTCTTTATATATTGCCTGGTTTTTGTTACTTTTTGTTGTTACTAAGAAAGAGATTTACAAGAAGATAAAAATTTGTCTATACTTATATTCTGGTTCTCACTTTCTACTGTTGAACTATTTATGTTATAATTTTGGTAGATCACTAATTTCAATATGAAATCCTGTCAGCAACATCTGACGAAAGATCATACCAAATCCTTTTACGTTACGATAGCCCTGTAAGAACGGTACGAAGATCCTGTAAGAACGGTACGAAGATCCTGTAAGACCGATACGAAGACCCTGTCAAAATTGTTACGAAGGCCCTGTAAACTTGATAGGAAAGCTCTTTAAGAAATGATTCGAAAGCTCTGTCTAAAACGATACGAAAGCCCTGTCAAAAATCGATACGAAAGCCCTGCTTTTTATGATTTATGCATTTTACATTGTTACGAAAGCCCTGCTCCTTACTGGGCTTTCGTAACCAACCGTTACGAATCGTTACCTTCCCTTCTTTTTCTAGTTGACATAATAGTGTGTGCATGGATGTCGAACTTCACCATTCCTAGCTATTGGTTTTTATGAGTAAAAAAAGATTCTATTATATTGCTTTGTCACCCTCTTTCAATTTTACAACATCACAATACAATACCGATAATACATTAGCTGCCAAACTTTGATAGAAAGAGTATTCCAATCATAGATGTAAGAGTATTGCTAATGATGATGTGTACTATGATCGCACAAGCATTAGCTTTCCTTGAAATAAGAAACAATAGATGCACCTGGACGTATAGGTATGAGTACAAAAGGGAGGGGAGTTGCATAGATTCTGACAGATGTGTGAATAAGTGAACTGATGAGTTATATGTACGCAAAGGACTATATGACACGATATAGGATTGACTCTAGCAAAGAGCCGCTTGGTTCGAAATGAATAGTGTAAGCTCATGACTTTACCCAGTCGAAGTATTCAGTCATTAATTTTGGATGTGGTTCTCATGATTTATATGCATGTAGATGAACGGAGACCATAAACAAACAGTGGCTGTCGCTCGCGATGACCATCACAGTCTCCGTCTCTCTCCGTAGATGACAACCGTGCGTTAGTATTTCCTACCGTTTACTGTGTGCATCTAGAGTCAGTTATAAACTTTCCATTTTTCTCTGCTAATGATCGTTTAAGATTGTGCGTGTTTGACCTGGGCGACCCTTCAGAACCAATGACGCAATGTTGTAAAAAGTATCAACAATGTCATTAGTACACTTTATAGAGATAGGTTGTCTAAATAATGGAAGTTTATTTTATGCACCGGAACCAGCTTTGTTATAGTCTCAACCAACCGTACTTTGTTATTGACAAAGTGTTAGCAACTGATACTTATCCAATTTTCAGCCTTTGACGAAGCAATTCCTCAGTCCTCGCAGTTATTGAATCAAAATGATTATAATGTTTTGTCTATTGCAGAACTCATACTTGATATAACACTGGTTCAAAATTAATTGTGATTCTGAAGTATCGGAAATCAAATATGGCATCTCGTTTGTACGCTATTGATTCGGCTGCAGCAAATAATTTGCCAGCTATTGATGGTTATTTGGATATGCCAAAAGTTTCTCTAGAAGAAGCTGTCCAGCCCATCGATCACATTATTCCAAACATAAACTTTCACGCTCAATATGCTAAAGAACAATGTTCAGATCCATTGGATGGACTCACACCAGATGAATCAGGATGCATCTATTTGTATACGCTGGAAAACATTGGTCTTTACAAGAAACTAAATGAGACCATTCAGGATAAACAAAGGCATAAACTCAAACCATGGTTTCTCTATTTGAAACTTTTCCATGTTTCCGTGAGTAAATTGCCATCCTACGAAAAGCCAGTTTGGCGCGGCATTAATAAAGATATTACTCAAGACAACTCCCATCAATTCGAAAAAAGAAAAGTATTAACGTTTTGGCGTATTACATCTTGCACAATAAATGTTAAAATAGCCGAAAATTTCATGCATGAAAAGGCGCATAACACGTTATTAATGATAAGTTCCAAGAATGGCAAATGTATAGTTAACCACTCAAGTTATCCAAATGAAGAAGAGTTAATTTTGTTACCCGGTACACGATTGAAAGTTGTTGGAGATCAATTTGAACTACACGGTCTCCACGTAATTCATTTAGAAGAAATAGAACGATATGAGGAATCGACCAAATTACCGTCCATCACTTGCAATAAAATTAGTCCACAGAAACATACGTACAACACATCGCACGATTACCAATCCAACTTTTCTACTGAACTAACAACACCTAAACTCACTTTGTATTCAGGTATTACTTCATCTGCAGATTTTCTTCCACAAATCAATACAAGCTCATTTAATGCATTACATTCAAATGCAAGTGTTATCAAAGTGTCGACAGATCCTAAGTCAACGACAAAGTTTCCCAACGGAGATACATATTACGGACAGGTAATAAACGGCAAGAAGCAAGGTGAGGGCACATATAAATGGGTAAATAGCGGTGAATACAATGGGGAATGGCAAGACGATAAATTCCATGGACAAGGTACTCGAATATGGGCATCGGGAGACAAGTACATTGGTCAATGGGTCGATGGCAAGAAACATGGTCGTGGAACCTGCATTTGGTCGAATGGAAATCAATATGAAGGTGATTGGAGAGATGACAAGCGGACAGGAAAAGGTATTTGGAGATCGAAAGATGGGAATCAGTACAAAGGAGAACATGTAGATGGAGAAAGACATGGTAGAGGTATTTATACATGGTCTGACGGTTCAACTTATAAGGGACAATGGAAGAATGGTAACATGGAAGGAAAAGGGGTTCGCATCTACTTGAATGGAGACGTTCATAATGGCTATTGGATGAACGATAAAAAACAAGGTATGGGTACTTTTACGTGGGTTTCTGGTGAGAAATATGAAGGTCAATATCATAATGATATGAAACATGGACATGGTAGCTACACATGGCAGAATGGAAATAAATACACTGGGGATTGGAAGGAGGATCAGAGAACAGGGAAAGGTACTTTTATTTGGACTGACGGAGCGATATATATTGGAGATTTCGTGGCCGGTGAACGGACCGGAACTGGAGTACAAACCTGGACATCAGGTGACAAATATGAGGGCCAATATCGAAATAATCAATTGCACGGCTTCGGCAAATATACTTGGGCTGACAAAGATCGTTATGAAGGATCATGGGAGAAAGGTAATCGACACGGACAAGGAAAAATGTTTTTTACTGGTGGAAACCAATATGAAGGTGATTGGAAAGATGACAAGCGGACAGGAAAAGGTATCTGGAGATCGAAAGATGGTGATCAGTACAAAGGAGAATATTTAGATGGAGAAAGACATGGTAGAGGTACTTATACATGGTCTGATGGTTCAACTTATAAGGGACAATGGAAGAATGGTAACATGGAAGGAAAAGGAATTCGCACCTACTCAAACGGAAATGTTTACAATGGCCACTGGGTGAACGATAAAAAACATGGCAGGGGTACTTTTACATGGGTTTCTGGTGACAAATATGAAGGTCCATATCATAATGATATGAAACATGGGCATGGTAGCTACACATGGCAGAATGGAAATAAATACACTGGGGATTGGAAGGAGGATCAAAGAACGGGGCAAGGTACTTTTACATGGGCTTCTGGTGACACATATGAAGGTCAATATCATAATGATATGAAACATGGGCATGGTAGCTACACATGGTCGAATGGAAATAAATATACTGGAGATTGGAAGGAGGACCAGATGACGGGGCAAGGTACTTTTATTTGGGCTGATGGAACAACACGGGTGGGCCAGTGGAAAAATGGACAGCAATGTTAAATGTTGAGCCCAGCTCTCATGAGCATGAAAAATGCTCATTATCATACATTCTTCTACTCTTTTCATCATCGTTATAAAATACATAGAACGGCTATAGTCTATGAATGGTTTTTTTTTGTGTGAATATTTTGAAGTTGAAACTATGTTTGAATACCATCAATTAGAATTTTGATTATTCTTCCATGATAATAACGTATTTTGTAGTGCAGATATTGCAAAATCAAATCAAAAGGACTAGCTACAAGCGTCTTGTATAAATGATATTAAAAACAATAACTTTTCAGATCGGAAAAACAGTCAATAATTTTTTGCAGACGCTAGCGGTGGGTCATTGAACAACCATTAGTCGCTAGATTTGTGGGTGGGACACATTTCAACAGTCATCTGTTCTGCCTAGTCTCTGTTCTTTCAAACAGTTCATATGCTATTAGCTGTAAAAATCCTAAATATGATATAATTCTCAATGAAGGCAATTCTATTACTCTTGCTAGTACTTGCCTTGTCATATCAGAACTAAGACTGAGAAAATCTGTAGGCACTTCTTCCGGAAGATGAGTTTTATCTTCTTGTCAACAAAAACAGAACCATTCCCGTTTGTTTTATCTCAGAATGAGCCATATTCTCAACTCGTTTGTTGGCCGCGAACATACATAAAAAGTGGCTACATATTTATGTATTTGTTGTCAAAGGCGCTCTCTTTTCTTTTATCTATCCTTCTCAATCGTCTTGCTAGTATAGGAATTGTTCGTTTATCCATTCTCTATTTCTCCTCCCTTTTGATCTTTTTATCTCTTTGATCTTTTCGTCTTCTCTCCACTTTTTAAGGAAACGATTATTACTAAATAGGTGGAATAGTTATATTCGTGCTAATTTTTCATCATCAAGACAATCAAGAGCAAAAAGAATCAATATATGTTTGAATAGACAGTACTTTATTTTGTCATGAATCATTGTTTGTTTATGAAACAGGTATTTAATATTCACAGATACTTGAATAACAATATCAAGAATGGCATGAATGAGTCAAAAAAAAGCAATTATTATTCATCAACAAAAATTTGTTTAAAAAAACATTCGTGTTACGAAAGAGGTTGGGCATCGAAAAAAATCCTAAGCCTTTTTAATAATTTCACGTAAAAGAAAGTTAAAGTAAAAACTAGTAAGCTTTTCTTTAATGCTAAACCAAGTCATTTCATCATTAATAAAGCGTTCAATATAAGTGTCTTCATTTTTCTTTATACAAATATTAATCCATGGTAAACTGCGAATATCTAATAGTGCGATCAGCTAATAATAATAAGGATGACCAGGACACAGTCATAAACGACTACCATATTGTTCAAGACAAAAGTTTTCTCGAACAAAAAAGGTGCTGACAAGGGTGTAGGGTGTGGATAGAACAGAAGCCTCGCCCTAACTCACACCCACGCCCCGTATATATTGATTCTTTTCGTTCTTGATTGCCATGATGATGAAAAATCAGCATGAATATAACTACTCCACCTTTTCAGTAATAATCGTTTTTTTAAAAAGTAGAGAGAAGACGAAAAGATCAAAGGGGAGAAGAAATAGAGAATGGAATAAAAGACCAGTTCCTATACTAGCAAGACGATTGAGAAAGATAGATGAAAGAAAAGAGACCGCCTTTGACAACAAATAAGTTAATATGTGCCAACTTTTTATGCATGTTCGTAGCCAACAAGCGAATTGGGAATATGACTCATTTCTTTGTGTTATTGCATCACAAGAGAGAAATCGACAGAACATACGATCCTATACCGATTTATAAATGCTTATAGAATTGAGACTCTATTGACCGCGCTATATGGCAAAGCTTAAAACAATCGGAAAAAATATCGATCATACGAACTTAAACAATCAGCTTCATACTCAGGTTAAAAAGAATACCAAAGAAAAAAGTTGGGCCCAGCCAGGAATCGAACCTGGACCGCTCGCTTCCAAAGCGAATATCCTACCACTGGAACACTAAGCCTCACCCATTACATACCAATCTATTCTTCCTAGAATACTTTTTTCGCATCAATTCCACGCTTTGATTATTATTTATTATGAGAAACACTCCTCGCACAACAAACTCTCAAATAGTTCTCAGCTTCGTTTGACACATTTGTGACCATCTCGGCAAACAATTTTATGTCTTAATTAAAACACATTCACGATATTTACGAAAAATAATTTTTTTTATTGACTCAAGTCCATAGTCAGAGTTCAAAGCAGGTTCTATTAATGGTTTTCCTATGAAAAAAACGTTTTGATCATATTGACCAGAACCTAGCGAAGTATACTGTAGTCATGGCTCTCTTTTTTCATTCCAGGGCGGTCTTCAATTACTTAAGATACTAATGACTGTGGGTGGAAGAAAAACGGTTCGTGAGTCTTTTGCATTTGATCACTTGGTTTTCATCACTAGTTACATGATCGATATGCATACGTCGAAATCAAGGAGGCTCGATCTTTAGATCTTTTTCCTATTCCAAGATATATCATCGACATGGCTAAGTGGCTATGTTGCTCGAGACGCATCCACAAGATACTATGTTCAAATCTTGATATCACGAGTCATGAAATGATCCTCGGTAAGTTAATAATGGCTGTTTGTCTCGAATCACTCGCCAGATAGTATGCTGATTACGTTGTGACATACACCTACTCTTGTGACCAATAGGTGTTTAATTAATATGTACGTAAAGCTGAAACAATTGAGCGCAAGAACTCTGCGTCAGGCTGATCTTCTTTTCAGAGCTATAGCTATATTAATTGTATGAAAGATATTGGACTATTGAATCTGTCGATAGGTAGCACTCCATATCACAAGTTAGCCGAAAGTTAGAGCTATTCTTCCGTTCTTTCTTCAAAAAATTGGTTCTGCACTCTTCATCCTTTTCCATTACGATATCTTCGATGCGTCGACAATGCATGATTGACCACGATAAAATGTGAAGATTTCTTGAATATTCTCCTCTTTATGAAATATCGTTAACTGCGCACACAGATCAATGATACGAAATCAAAACAAATGCCTCTTTTATATACCAATGAATGACTTGACTTGCTGTACACTCATGTCGAAATGTTTCAATATTTTCAAGTTCTTTGCTTTCTTGACGTTGGTAATTATTACATTTATTTAACATGATTTCTTTTGTCTAAACAAGCAAAAGATGAATTTACTATTGAACGTTTAAAATAGATCACGTAATCTCATGCAAAAAGTTTCGACGAAAAATCAGATTAAAATTGATTGGTCTTATTCGATAAGGCTGCAAAACTCCATTTCAAGTGAATGAAAATCGTGGCACTTCAATCAATTTTAATCGAATTTTTCGCCAAAATATTTTACATGGAATATAAACTTAATTATATCAATTCAAATTTTAATAGAATCTCGCTCAACAGAAACCATACTAGAATAATTTTGCAACAATATTCGAAAACATTTGTTCCTTCGAAGTATGTCTTACATTTTAAAAATTGACGTTAATATAATTATCTTGGTGCTATCGCATAATTTGAGACTATCATAATAGGAAAATCATTCTAGATTAATAAAAATAATTTCCTCTGACAAAAGTATAGAGTGCAATAATGACAATGTTGGTGTATGATCAATTCTCAACTTTTTATTTTTGTTATATCTCACAATCTAATAAAATACTACCTCTAATGACACTGAAATTTTGACGTTTTACTCATGATTTTTACATTCAGCGACGAATTTAATTTGAGTCAATGACCTCGTTCATTTTGAAGACTTCCATATTAAGAAACTTCAACTGTTTATTTATTTCTATATCGTTATTCATCCTGAATATTCAATGAATAAATGATGACATTCGGTTTAAAGTAAACGAGAAAAAAGAAAACTTCTTATTGTTGTAATCCGA